TCAGTACCTGCCTTATTGGCCAGACTTGGAGGTCCTCCATGCCATTGATGCGATGCACGTGCAGAAGAATATCTTTGAGAGTCTCATGGCAACCTTGATGGACACGGGCAAGTCAAAGGATGGTCTCAGATCACGGAAAGACATGGTGCAGCTAAACGTGATGCGGGAGCTTTGGCCGATACAGCAAGATAATGGCAAGTACAGTCTTCCCGCAGCTAGCTTCAACCTAACCCTAGAGGAGAGGAGAGCTATATGCAATTTCCTTAGGGGGTCAGAGTGCCGACTGGGTTTTCGGTGAACCCGAAGGAGCTAGTGTCGATGAAGGACCTATCATTAACATACTGCAAGGCTCATGATTGTCATGTGATGCGGACAGTGTTCCTACCAATTGCAATCAGGGCTATAAAGCCAGAGTTCCTAAAGATGGCCATCACCCGCATGTGCTACTTCTTTTCGAAGATCTCACAGAAGACGATTCGCAGGCAAGAGCTGAGTAACCTACATGAATTCATGGTGGAGACCCAGAACCAGCTAGAGATGTGTTTACCTCCCGCTTTTTTTGATATAATGGTACATCTCATGATTCACCTGGTTCATCAGATCGAGGCGATGGGCCCTAGCTTCTTGCATGAAATGTGGTCCTACGAGCGGTTCATGTCGGTTCTAAGCCGATATGTTCATAACCGAACACACCCGGAGGGCTCCATGATAGAGGGTTACAATTCAAGAAGTCGCCGAGTGCTACCAAGAGTGGCTAAAAGTACGAGAGAGGATTGGTAATCCCGATTCTCGCCACAAGGGAAGGCTAGCTGAAGGGCACAAGTGGTAGGAAAGTGTTCCTCGACAATGATTACAGAGAGGTGAGTCGGACGCATTACGTTGTCTTGCGTAGTATGGCGTTGATGCAACCGTACATTGATGAACACATGGCTATCATTATGGCCGAGAGGAATGGCCGTTCAGATGATTGGGTCATGAAACAGCATAAGCAACGCCTGACATCATGGTTGAAGGACCAGAACATACAGCCTGGAGAAACCATAGATTCTATTACCATCAGTCGGTTGGCGGCCGGGCCATCGAAACAGGTGACGTCTTGGAATGCTTATGACATCAATGGGTACACATACTATACCGACACAAAGGACAGGAAATCTGTGAATCAGAATAGCGGCGTTCGAATAGAGGCTCTCGACAGAGTGGGGCGAAAGGTCCTGTACTTTGGCATAATTGAAGATAAATGGGAACTTGACTATGGAAGGGATATAAAGGTGGCCCTGTTTCGATGCTGCTGGATCAAGCAACATCATTTCAATGAGATCGAACAGAGAGTCGTCAACCTCCAGAATGTAGGCTACCAGGATGACCCTTGGGTGCTCGCTGAACGTGTCGCACAAGTCTTCTATATGCCCGAGCCGTAAAGTAACCTCCCCCCAAAGAAGAAGACAAAGCACGTGGTGGCCTCCGGAAAACAACATATCATCAGAGTTGATGGCGTGGACGATGTTGAAGCTTACAATAAGTGTGATGAGATGTCGCTATTCATAGACTTTTGTAAGAAGATCGAGGCTGTAGAAAAGAACCTGCCCAAAGATGTATTGCTATGGGAACGAAAAGGTGTCAAGGGAAAAGTTGTCACGGTGGGCTAGCTAGTTTACGTAAGTGTGTCAGTGTTCGTAAGACTACATTCATGTATGTGTGTGAGAGACTACATTTATGTACGTGTGTGTGAGACTACATTCATGTATGTGTGTGTGAGACTATATTCATGTATGTGATACTACATTTATGTATGAGTGTTTGAAACTACATTTATGTGTGTGTATTTGAGACCACATTCACGTATGTTTGTGTGAACAATGTGTACTAAGAATTTATCAAATTATGAAATTACCAAAATAAAAGTTGTAGATCTCCATGAGTTATTCAACTTTGGTATTCATTACTTTTTCAGTTGAATTGATTTGGGGGTCCAAATTATGGTTTCAACTTGTCTTTTTTCAAATTTCAAAATTTGAAAAGTTCAAATTTAGTCAATTGACAAGATAACCAAAATAAAACTTGTAGATCTTGATGAGTTGAACAAATTTTGTATTCATCACTTTTACATCTGAAATCATTTAGGATTTGAAAATTTGGTTTGAAATATTAAATTTCAAATTTCAAATTTTAAAATGTGTAAAACATTGTCACATCCAAGTTTGATCAAACTTAAATGCCGAATAATGATTTTAGAAATTTTTAGCAAAAAAACCATCACATTTGGAGTTAGTATGAGGGAGAACAACTAGTTACAAAGTTTACCCAAAAATTAAAAAGAGAAATCACACTGTTCTAGATGATCCTTACATGATCATAGTGAATAGTGTGATTTCTTTTTTTAATCTGTGGGTTAACTTTGTAACTAGTTTTTCTTCCTCATACTAACTTCAAATCTGATGATTTTTTCTAAAAATTTTCTAAAATAATTCTCTATCAATTTATTTTTTTGGTTTTGTTAATATATACATATATTTTGTTGGTTTTGTCAATATATACATATGAAAAGTTTGAGCAATTTAAATTTTGAATTTCAAAAAAATGCAACTTCAGACAAGATTTTGGTACCCCAAATGATTTCAGCTGAAAAAGTGATAATCAAAGTTGAATAACTCATCAAGATCTACAACTTTTGTATTGGTCATTTCTTCATATGACAAAGTGGTAATGACATTGTTCACAAATGTGACACATCTCTCATAAGGTTTTATAAATTATATGAGATATGTGTAAGATTAGTGAACAATGTGTGCTAAGAATTTATCAAATAAAGAAATGACCAAAATAAAAGTTGTAGATAATCATGAGTTGAACAATTTTGGTATTCATCACTTTTTATGTTGAAATCAATTTGGGTCCCAAATTTTGGTTCGAACTTGTTGGTTTTCAAAATTTCAAATTTGAAAGGTTAAAATTTTATCAAATGATAAGATGACTAAAATAAAAGTCGTAGATATTAATGAGTTGAACAACTTTGGTATTCATCACTTTTATGTTGAAATCATTTTGGGTCTCAAATTTTGGTTCGAACTTGTCATTTTTAAAATGTCAAATTTAAAAGGTTCAAATTTTGGCAAATGACAAGATAACCAAAATAAAAGTCAGTAGATCTTCATGACCTCTACAACTTTGATGTTTATCAAATTTTCATTAAAGATCATTTGGTGTCTCAAAATTATTTTATTAGTTTTGATTTTAATTTTTAAAATTTAATTTTTTTTTCATTTTAATGGTTCAATTTTGCAATTTTAAACTGCTGTAGTTGTTTTAGTTATTGTATATGTAAATATATCTATAAAAATAATTATAAAATTTTGTACTATATTATTTATTATTTACATGTGAATAATTAATTTTGATTTAGAATTTTGAAAAAAAAATCAACTGTAGGGGCGGCTTATAACATCAGCCGCCCCTACAGCGGCTCTGAGATATTTTGAAAAAAAATCAACTGTAGGGTGGCTTATAACCTCACCGCCCTCTGAGGCTCTGAGGTATTTTGAAAAAAATTCAACTATAGGGGCGGCTTATAACCTCAGCCGCCCCTACAGAGGCTATGTAGGGGCGGCTTATAACCTCAGCCGTCCCTACAGCGGCTCTGAGGTATTTACATGTGACCGTCGGTTTGGGCGAAATCGATTTGGGCGAAATCACACTTGGACCGTCAGGCTGCCCAGTTTCGCCGCCGCCGCCGCCTGCACCGCCGCGCCTGGATCGTCGTCGCCTGCACCGCCGTGCCTGCACCGCCATCGCCTGCCCCTCCCTGACCCCTCCACCGCCTCCTCCACCATCTCCCTGACCCCAACCGCCGTTCCCCAGGCCGCGACGGCGGCTAGGGTTTGGGAGCGCTCCTCGGCGCGGCCCGTCGTCCTAGGTTTGGGAGCGGCTCCTCGTCGTGTGGCTGCGCCCGTCGTGTGGCTCCTCGTCCTAGGTTTGGGAGCGCTCCTCGTCGTGCGGCTGCCCCTGCCCCATCCTCACCATCCTCTCCGACCTCGACGCCCCTCGCCGTCTCGCCGCCGCTGATCTCGCAGCCGTCGATCCCCGGCGCTCTGATAGTTAGAGGTCAGTCCGCCCTCATCACCAGATGACTTCCCACTCATATCTCCTCCCTATCGATCGCTTTCGACTTGCGTGGTTTCCCGACGCTCTCAGGGCCGCGCCGCCCCTGATCTTGGTCTCGATTCGGTTCCGGCGAGTGCCTTATTATTAGCTCTCTAAATATGTATATGCTGATTGTATACTAGAGTTCTACATATATACATCGGGATTTCAAGTGGTGCACAATTTTTTGTTATTAGAAAAGATTTTGCATATACTAGAAATGATAAGTGCTGGCTTTTTTTACATCGGGGTTTTTTTACATATTTTTTTGTGATCAATTAACGTGCAAGTAGTGACTATCTGATCTGGACACATAGATTTTGTACACCAACCAACCTTTCCCTGCTGGCTTTTAATTTGGATGCTTGCATTGCCTCCCCCTTGCTTGATCACACATATGTATATATGCATGGATGATGCATTGTACAGCGAAAAGTTTGCACCAGTGATATGAGAATGCTAGATATGTATGTTTATATCCTCAGTGGTGCTTTAATTGGAGTATAATGGCGTAAATTCATTTGGAACATATACAACACCAGTGATTCAAGTTTGCAGTATAAAATTGAAGCAACAATATAGGAGGCCCAAATTAAAAATGTAAATATTGTATAGAAGTGTCTTAAATTGTCTATCAATAAGAGAAAAATGTCTTAAGCACTGTTTATCAATAATGAGAAACAAACCACAGAAAGCTTCTTTTTTAAGATTTGTATAAGCTGCTTATTTACAAACCACAGAAGGTGTTCGGCTTCTTGGGAGCGCTAGGGACCGTGGCGTTCGCCTACGCCGGGCACAACGTGGTGCTGGAGATCCAGGCCACTATCCCGTCGACGCCGGAGAAGCCGTCCAAGAAGCCGATGTGGAAGGGCGTCGTCGTCGCCTACATCGTCGTCGCGCTGTGCTACTTCCCTGTCTCATTCGTCGGTTACTGGGCCTTTGGCAAAACTGTTGACAGCGACATCCTCGTCACGCTCTCCAGGCCCAAGTGGCTCATCGCCCTCGCCAACATGATGGCCGTTATCCATGTCATTGGCAGCTACCAGGTACATATTGTACATACATATATATGTCTTCCAACTTCCAACTTCCAAGTCAAGCATGTATAGTTGTATACATGGAAGATGATGGAACTCGGTACTGCACCATCTCTGAACTGAATGATTGATGGCTGCACAGATTTATGCGATGCCGGTGTTCGACATGATGGAGACGGTGCTGGTGAAGAAGCTGCGGTTCCCTCCAGGCCTGACGCTCCGTCTGATTGCCCGTACCGTCTATGTTGGTAATGCCTTTGCCTGAACACAGCTTTATTTTTTATCAGCCTAAACTCTGAACAAATAAGACTGACGAGATGCCACATGTGTGCAGCGTTCACAATGTTCATAGCCATCACCTTTCCCTTTTTCGATGGATTGCTCAGTTTCTTCGGTGGATTCGCGTTTGCGCCGACAACTTATTTCGTAAGCTCCTGTCGATTGCGACTATCCAATTGTGTTTTGGGTTTCAGAATGTAGCATGACAACATGAGAGCTGACCAAATCTTGTTTTTTTTTTCTTTTCTGCCAGCTTCCCTGCATCATGTGGCTCGCAATCTACAAGCCCAAAAGGTTCAGCCTCTCATGGTTCGCCAATTGGGTAAGAACTAACCGACAATAATCCACCCTATCTTATCTGAGCTTAACCTGTTGTCGTCTAACTTACTTGTGCTCTCCCTATTCTTCAGATCTGCATTATACTTGGAGTGCTTCTGATGGTACTGGCGCCGATTGGAGGACTCCGGAATATCATTATTAGCGCCAAGACATACCATTTCTACCAGTAAACATGCATGATTGTCCAACACAATGCAAACCCCTTGTTTATCTAATTACAAAAGAGACCCTGACAAGTCTCAGGCCACATTAATCATCAGCTGAACAGGTTTTGGATTTTGTACCACGAGATTCCGAACTTCTTGTTTGGCACGACAAAAAGCTCGCATCAGATGCTCTAATCGGCAACCGACTATAATGTCTAGTGCGAGTTCTTTGCCGTGCCAAAAAGGGAATGTCACCATGGTATACAGAACTTAAAACTTGTTCCAGTACGTGATGAATAATGTTCCTGACATGTCAAGTTTCCCTTAGTCATGGCCTAACCTAGGAGTTTGCTTTGAACGGATCATATACATGTATCTGTTGTTTTTGTTCGTACTTATTTATATTAAGGGGAATGTTAGCTTTTGTGTATGTCTAAAACGGAAAATGAAAGTGTGGTGCATGCTTTGTATTTTTTGTAGATAATGAAAATGGTGCTTTGAATTTGTTGAAAAAGAATTCCAAGCAGTTGAGGGAGTTTTTCTCCGCATTTTCATTCAATTAATCGGGACTAGAGGGTAACCTTTAGTCTCAGACTGAGCCACCAACCGGGACTAAATAATGTTCAAGCTATATATCCACTTAGCTTTCTTGTATATATACGTGACACAGGTAACGGGCCTTCCTTGGTCTCTGGGTCCTCCGGTCTTTTAACGGTTAAGAGGCCCACATCCGAAAACGGCCATCATTTTTGTATGTGGACTTCCTCCGTTAATGTATTTACCGCGGCGGTCATTTTTTCGGTGTAGACTTTGTGTCGGCCTCCGAAAATCCTAGGAGCCGGTCTCACAAATCATTTATGTAGTAGTATATATCAAATACCTTGAAAGCGAGATTCTCATCTGCTTGACGCTCTAAGAGACGCTCGAACTTGATACAGAGATGCTGAATGCTTGACTAAAGATCCTCCACCTTGGATTGTTCTTGAGGCTTCTAGTTTGACAGATCTTGTAGCACCGAGGTGTTCGCATCAAACGCCGCCTTGAGCGAGTTGTGTTGTTGATCCATCCACGATTGCATCCCCTTGAGGAACGTTCTGAGGTCGCCGATCTGATCTTCCATCGCCACCAACGTCTTCTGCTCTCTAGTCTGGTAGACTGGTACTGAGGTCGAAGTCCGAAGGCGCCACCAGACTTGCTGTCTCCGCCGACGAGGGCAAACTCGTTGGACATCCGAATCCCAAAGACCCCACCGCTCTAGTCGATCTGAGATTTCACTCAATCACTCTCTCTATTGTATCACACGAAGAATTTAAGTGGTCTTTACAAGATCTGGCTCTCGAGATTACAGAAATGGGGCAAGATGCTCCGGACACCACACTCCGGACACGATTGGCCTTCTTCGTGGGTTTCTTCTCCCCCCCTTCTTCGTGTGCTCTCCTTTTACATGCCTCCTCTGCAACTTGGTTGGGCCTGCATCACTTGGGCTTCCAGGTTGGACCGAGATACTTGGTGTTAGGCTTTCTCTTTCTTCTCGCCAGTTTCCGCAGCTTCTGCTACTCCAGCCTCTACGCCTTCTCGAAGGTAATCTGACACTGACAGCAGAGCACAGACTTGTCTACAATTTCCGTCAACACGTTTCGTCGTCGTTTGGCCCTCCAGTAAACTGCAGACAGAACGAAGTCGATCGTTTCAGCATCAATGAGACAACGACCGGACTGCGGTTGTAAGTTCGAGGAAATTTGGTCACACACGGTGAGTGGCACAGCACACTCCTTGACTTCAATTTATTCTCTCTTGAGTCAAATCGGCATTTTGTGTTGAAGGAAAAGGCACACGAAATTCATCACGCTATCGCCTTATCGGAGACAGAGAGTGCGAGGTGAGGCTTTGAAGTTTGAACACACACACTATGACACTAACACTGACAGCAGCTCGAACGTGTCTTCTCCTGCTGTCAGATGGGAGATCGGATGGCCTGTATGAGCTAGCCTAGCCACCAAGGCAGCAAGCTGCTGGAGCCATGCGTTGTGTTCTATAAAGAAGACGAGCTCTACTCCCCCTCCTATCTTTCCATCTTCTTCCCTCTCCATTTCTCCAGGCTCTCTCCCATCTTTGGCGTCCAACCCATCGTGCGTGATGTCAGTCCAGCCGTCCACGGAGACGCAACAAGGGCCTGACAACTATTCTCCCGCCAGGGTACGTCCGTCACCAATTCACTATGCATGAACGTCTCTCTTCTCTCTCTACTCTCCCGATCTGCTTCATCATGTTTGCACGCCCATTATTGCGCCTTTTTGTTTGAGTAAGTTCATCAGCAATCCTCAAAGTAGTCAAAATGCATTTTTGGCTCCTGAATTTGTACCACTCGCACTACTACAGAATTTAACTGTAGGGGCGGCTCTAGAGCCTCTGTAGGGGCGGCTACGCCAGCCGCCCTTCCCAGGGTGTTCCTACAGAGGGTGCCTCTGTAGGGGCGGTTTCCTGACCGCCCCTGCAGTGCTCTCTGTAGGGGCGGCTGGTGTTTTCAGCCGCCCCTACAGTGCCCGCTGTAGGGGCGGCTGGTGTTTTCAACCGCCCCTATAGTGCCCTTTGTAGGGGTGGCTGGTAATATCAGCCGCCCCTGTAGTGGACTTCTGTAAGGGCGGCTGTATCACCAGCCGCCCCTACAGTGGATTTTCCAGCAAAAAAAAATAATTCAAATTGCATATTGCATATGAATTATACTTATTTTAACAATACATTTTAAGAAATTGCATATTGCATATCAGAAAAAATAACACATGAACAGATGATGCGGAGGCCAGATCCACGCTGCCATCCCCATGTTCAACTGCAAGTGCAAGAGCAGGTGCAGCTGCTGTGATTTCTAAAATGCAACAAACAAAGTAACTGTATTGCTACAACATTTCATCCAGGCCATCTGTTTGATCTCCATGGTTTTATCATTTGACATCTAAGATATTTAAATAACACAGAGATCCTTCTTTAAACTTAGTACTTAACATCATTGCATACTTTAAAATCAAGAGAATATATAATCATCCAAAGCATGAAATTGCTAGCCAAACTATTAAAAGGAAGTCAGCATGCATCCAACTGGCTTACACAAGATGCAACTCGAGAAAAATGACAGCTAGATAAATTACCTTCAACTTAGCCTCCAACTAAATCTTCACTCCTCCATACCTTGATGCTTCTCCAGCACTCTGAATTCATAGAGCCATTGTCTGATGCTAAACATTAAACAACTTGGGTTGCCTTTTCTGAAATTAAATGAAGTCATGCATCAGAAGCAAGGAATAATATGTTTTCAGACTAGTGTTTAGAAAAAATTGAATAAGCTAAGAAACAGTAAATGAAATGAATAAGCTAAGAAACAGTACATGTAATCAATATATGGACGGAAACAGACAAACAGTACATTTTCATGAGCACAAAAAGTTCAGAACTGCCATTTAAACTAAATATGAACTCAAAGGAATTGCAAATGAGAACAGCTCCTATCTCAAGGTCAGGTCATTTTTTGCCTACTAACTGTACATATGTCACCAGCTCCTATCTCAAGTTTCCTATCACAGCTCCTATCTCAGTATATGCAGTGTGATATCAACAGGTAAAGTATAGACACAAATTAAAGATATCATTTTTCATTTAGAAGATCTAAATGCACACAGCAGCAGGCAGCAGAGATCCCCTTTGCGGATAGCAAATGAAATCCACATATACAGGTTCCCTTGCAAGGGGAAAACACTACTACTATCCAAAACTAGTATATTGCCCGTGCTAACGCTACGGAACACATTAAATAACTTTTTCATATATGCACAAATTCTGACTATGAAAGGAAAATATATGAGATCAACTTTTGCAGATTCAAGTAGACCACATCAAGTGTATCTCATCTCTTCAGAAACGGTATCAACAAACATGCCCATCAATAATCCATAGTCTAGGAATAAGCATAAAATGAATCCGCAAAGGCCAAAGAGAAAGGGTATCAACAAACATGGCTGCTAATATTTTGAAACGCATCGATCAATGCAACTGTTCTCACCCATATTGTATACTGAACTGTTGGTGCTATACCTGACAAAAAGGGTGAGAAGAGAAAGCTCACCATTCTCGAGCTTCATGCAAATAATGAAATAAGCAGCTCCTCTAATATGCATATAGCCAGAGAGCCAGCGAAAGGCATATGAAGAGAGTAAACTGGCTCAACGACCTTTTGACCTGCAAGCCAAATGAAGAGAGTAAAAACCAGTTTTCACAAAATGCGTACCGGTTCAAATATGAATTACATCTCATCTTTTGAGGCTTCAACACAAGTGAACATTGGAATTAAAATACAAAGAAAATGATCTTAATTGTATTGGAATTAAAATACAACAACAACATAACAATGAAGTCATGTGCAAAACAGATCATCTATGTTGTAAAAAGCAACAACAAGTACCTCATATTGCTAAAACAAAGATTCGCACTCACTTGGATAGTTCCTAGCAAAGTACAATAGATTCTCCAACACAACAAAGGATCATCCATCTCAAATCTCTAGGTTTAACTAAAGGTTACTTTTGAGAAAACAGGTAACAAGTAGCAAACAAAAACAGAGGAGAAATCTGTAATACCTAAAATCAGAGATGGGTCTTTCCTTGCCAACCCATCTCCTTCCATTGTTCTCGATATTAGTCCTCGAAGCCTGTCTTTGAATGCGGGTTCCATGAGTCCGCCGCTGGCCTTCTGTTCTCATCAACCGCCCTCCGCCATCGTGCCTACCGACCGACCTCACACACACAAAGACATGGCATCGCTTATCATCATAGCCTCGCTTACCAAATGACTAGAAAAGACATGCTATTAAGAAAGAACGTATTTAATTGAAGCGGATCGACGCCACATGTTATCTCGCAAAAAATGCAAAATGTTGTCCAAGTTCAAAGACCACTCATCAAGCAAAGTCACATAGAACTCAATTACGGATCTCAAATTCAAGAACCCGATGTTACAAAAGTTCCGTAAATCTG